GGTGAGCGACTCAGGTGAGGGGTCAGGATGAACTGTTTTGCGCTGTTTCTCATTAATAACGAGCAGGGTTCGGAGAGCATTGAATGATCAGCCGATGAGCTCGAGAGATGAGCTCCAGTGACTGCTTTTTAAGGGCAGAGATTTATTGATCTTGGAGAGGGTTCAGTTCCAGAAGTGATGCACAACAATCCTGTTGTGCTGGTATTAGGGGGTTTTGCTAGTAACCAAATTCGCATTTAGGGAGGTAATCCGTTAAAACACCATAAGTAAAACAAGAAACCAATTCCACGATAACCCAATATTGAATATGGTTCATGGCTAAGTCTTTGTCCTTGAGTTTCTCTTGATATTCCGTGATGGGACAATGCCATTTCGCAGTCGCTTGCACCTTGTATATAGATTCACAGTCATCTTCTAGGACTGCTTGCAACGAGGGGTGACTACAATGTTCTGAGCCTCAGTGGGAATGACTTTTTTATATTCAAATTTTATGATTTTTCAACATAGTCAACCTTGAGATCGATGCTCTTGGTCCAGGCTTGGTCCATATGAGCTAAATATTGGCTCCTCAAATATTGCCATTCCATCATCGATCCAATATTGGACAGATGCGATGACCCAATGTGCCCGACTGCAATTATAAGTTTTTGGGAAAGGTTGGTGTATCCTGCAAAAACTTTGAAGGATTCGCTCCGCCGACGCACGGCAGGGATGTCCTGTGCTCAATCCGCGGATCACCTTCAGCTGGTGGAAGGAGATAAACGGCCGAATTACTCGAGATGTCACGGAGGAATGGGAAAGGAGTCGAGATGATACGAATTCGAAGCCGAGATCGGAATCTCGAAATTCGCGAATCCGGCGGACTCCAGTCTATCTCTTTATATATTTGTATAGTGTATTTTTCGTTGCGGTTGGAAGGTTCCCTGCCTCTGACTACAAATGCTACTTGGGAGGCCTCCTCGGATATTATTTGATTCCCGACATAATATTACAGATAAAAAGGACCGGTCCTCTTCTTAAAAAAAAAAAGACACCCGTCTGCAGTATTTAGCGGCGCTCGTTAGATTCCCAGCTCTCTTAACTTGATAGTTTCTATCCGTATTTTTAAAATTTATTGTCCGAGGGCATCCGTAGATTAGTACAATGGAAACTCCGCTTCCCTGGGGCTCAGGCCTTTCTTATGCTTTGATGTTTTTTTTTCCCATTCCATTCATTTGTGAAAGAGGTAATTGCACAAAATACAACTGCACGCGAATTCTTCGATTGCGATTGAATATGAGGATCGCGGATGAATCTCCCAATTGAGCGTTCCGATCACAAGCCATTTATCGGACGATATTCATCCACAGAAACGAATCGTAATTAGAATTGCGCGCGCTCGATCCCTTCGGCTCATCGGTTCAGCCAAAGAGCGCACGAAGAAAAACTCCGCGCCCGCCGATCGCGAAGTCACGTGCAACGCGGGTTCTCTCCCCGCGCGCGGATCCGACGGCCTTCGCTGAAGTGATCCGTCCGTCGCGGGGCCGCATACGACCCATGTCTCGCACTGCTTCTTTAACAGTGCGAAAGGAAATATTCAAGCGGGAAGAGAGGGAGATGCATCATCTCGTCGTATTTACACATGGCCATTAAGATCATGTCTTTTTTTGTGATTTTCCACAAATCAAGGACGCAACGCGTGGCTTTCATGGATTCGAGAAAAGTCGATTTTTTCACAAATATCTCCAACATAACTCACCACGAATAAATAAATAAATACGTTGATAAGAACTAGTCATGCAATCATACTAGTCATTCTTCAAGATGAACATAGTTTTAGTGACCAAGTAAGGGTACTGAGGAATGCTTAAGCGGTGCTTGTAAGGAATATTAAAGCTGTATGGTACAATGGAAGTACCTTGCATGCATGCTCTAGAAGTCAAGGTCATTAAAGCCCGCGCGAACAGGAGCAGCGAGGGTCCGGAGAGTTCTTTCAGCGAGTTCTTCTCGCGCGGACCGTTGTGTTGGGACAGTGAACAAAGTCTCATTTCTGGATTTGGTTCCTGAGTTCCTGTTAATCGTCGGGAGGAGTTGTGGACCGTTTGGCGGTCACGTCTCCTTTTCGACTTGACGCCACGTCATCGAGGGCTGAATCCCGTGTGTCACGTTCCATTTCGTCCCCACGTCATTTATTATTCAGGTACTTTGCAGTAGAAAATCTTACAAGTACAATAATGTTTTTTCCACGTCAGAATGAATGGACTCCCGGCGCATGACGCGATTCCCAACGCCCTTGACCCGGAAACCCCGCATCCCTTTAACGTGTTTGAGCCCCTCGCAATCGCGTTCAATCGTTCCGCTCGCCTTCGAGAAGGAAAGCAGGCGAAAGAGGCCTCGTGGCCGATTCGTAACTTCCATCCTTTCGGCTTCGAGACCAAGGCCATCCAGAGTGCTCGCGTGCCTGGCAGCCCGGAGGGGTCTCAGATACCTGTGCGGCATGCAAAGGTGCGTGAAGGCGTGTGCGGCTGAACCCCTGCCGCCTTTCCTCATAGCAACCGCTCTGGTTCTCTTTTTTTTTCGGGCGTTATATCGAACATTTATTTACTAGCCTTTTTTATTTATGGTCGCGCCTTCGGCGCTCCATTACCTTGGATAGTGATTAATTCATTTATTCTTTGCGAAATGGCAAACACGTATTTAAAGTACGTCCCCATTGAAATACGGGACAAAAGTCTTCATTTTTTTAGTGAGGTGAGTATGAGGGCTGGCACAACACTGCCCAACAGTCTAATCTATCAGTCCATGGAATGAAAACAACTTCTGTTATATTGACAGACTCGCAAAAATATCCGTCCTGGAACTTTATTGCCAGACCTCGTATATCAGAAGTAGATACTTGAATTTGCAGAGTGATGAGAAAACCTGCGACAATTTTCATCGGTGATCAACAAAAGTTGTTCCCCTATTGTTTCACTGCATGTCTGATGTTTGGACTACACATGATCATAAATGGCTTACATGAGAGAGACTGGAAAGATAAACATTTGGGGGTTACTCACCTGCACCCAGCATACCCCCAGTGGATAGCAGTTTCAAGTGGCTAATTTATACTGTGCATAGTTTCCTTTTTTGCAGCTATTTATTTCACTAAATGAAGCATCATCTTCCTTCAATTTTCGCCTATTTATTTCTGTATCTGCCCCGTCTTTGGTGGGAAGAACACATCAAAGGAGCACCTGAGGTGTTCCAAAAGTGTTGCGCTGGGAACGCCTCCAGGAACGCATTNATCAAAGGAGCACCTGAGGTGTTCCAAAAGTGTTGCGCTGGGAACGCCTCCAGGAACGCATTGTTAGATGGAACACTTCAATTGAATTCGGCCATGGGAACATTAAGAAACGTATTACAGAACACCTCAGAGAGCATCATCTGGAACACCTGACGTGTTCCAAAAGTGTTGCGTTAAACGCGTTCTAGATTATGTTTTTCAGGTGTTCCGAATCAGGAAATTTTTTTTACAGTGGATAGCTTCTTCCTGAAACTCAATATGGAACACCCAACTGCATTGGCACTTAAATCGTTCCACAAATTCACTACTTGACAATTAAGAATGGCTAACGGTAAGGCAGTCTGTAAACAAGAGCAACGACACTTTGATTGTTACTTTTTCACCACTGTCAAGATTAGCCAGCCTATAACTATTCATGCAGCGATTGAGAGTAGTTATTTAATTACCTGACTCCTTTCGAAGCCAGCTGCTCTTCGATTCAAACTTCACCTTTTCTCAAGACTTTAATCTTGCAGCAGCACGTGAACAGCCACATCTTGGACCGAATGTTCTGTAACTCTAGGGTTCTATCCTTCACTATCATGAACGTTGGTTCATGAAAATCCGGTAACCCTATCGCTCCCAAAGAATCCCTATTTTCGGTGCAGTGCTCTAAAGGAAACCCATTTCATCATCCAAGGTACCTGCGAAGGTTTTCTCAATGTTGACCTGCAGACAGGAACATGTTGTTCAGAGTTATGTACTATGTGAATCCCTAGAGTTCCCCTGCCCGCGTTATTCTTATAACGGAAGTTGTGTATCAATGCTTAGATATATTGCATTTTTGTAAGATATTTTATTCTCTTCTTGTTCCTAGAAATGTCAAAATTTTGTTTTCTTTTGTCTATACAGGTATCAAAGAAGATGGATAAGAGCGGGACTGAGCTAGGCTCAGAGGCAAGAAAAATCCTCCTGAATGTTAAAATTGGAGCATCTGTAAAAAAAATACGTGATGAATTCGAGAACATGCACCCTGACGGAAGTATATCAAATGAAATCATTGAAGGTGTTATCGGGGCATTCCAGAGAAGCTGTGATGAGACATCATCCGATGAAGATGAAGCGGCAGGGGGACAGGACCTCGAGGCCTCCGATCTTGGAAACTATACATATTTCGTGCAGATTGCAGAGACAGAGGACCTACTTTATCTGTATAAACGTAGAAGAGATTTCTGTGACTGGATAACTAGAAAGATGAAAGATGACAAAAAAATTCTTGACAGATTAATATTCACAAGTACCGCTGATTTCTATCTTGACGGAACAGTGAAGAGAAAGAACGTCTGGTTTTGTGGTAAAAATGAACCAACCGAAGATGTTCAAACCAAGAAGGATGTTTCCTCTGAAAAGGTGGAAAAGGTGACCGTATGGTGTGCCATGTCAAGGAAGTATTTCATTGGTTTCCCAGTTGGGAAAACAGAATCTAGCGTGAATGACTCAAGCGGGAATGAATCAAGCGGGAATGAATTCGAGTCTCTTCCAAAAGAAAGCAAATTAAGAAAATTGGAATATCAAGACCCAATTCAGAAAAGGTTCATGAAGGTTTTAGGAGAAAAGCTAAGTAAAGACAAAGTGAGGAAATGCAGGGTGTGGTTCCAGCAGAACAGCGCCTCAGAAATATCATCCGATCAATGTTCGATGCAATGGCTCGAAAATTACTTTTTTGAACGCATAATAGCTAGACATGCTGGAATTCCATGGCCATTTGCATCTCCTGACTTGTCTCCCGTCGACTTTTTTCTCTGGGGGTTTCTAAAGGGAAAAGTCTATCCAGTCGATGATGAGAAACCAAAATCGGTAGAAGAGTTGGAAGAACGGCTGACAGCGGCATTTGACGAAGTTACCCCACAAATCATGGCCAGAGCATCATCCCAAGCTGTAAAGAGGTGGGATAAATGTCTTGAGAGTGGTGGAGAATACGAAGAACCTTTCACCCGCCTGTGCCAGCCAGAGGTATTGCTTAATGAATTTCTAAATGCTGCCTAATTATCTCGTTTCAAATTGTCAGTATATATGCATTTTGCACTGGCTTTTGCTTTATTTTGTCTTTTTCTCAATAGGGATGGTCGTCAGGGCCCTGTAAAAGCGGTAATTGCAAATTATGTCCCAGAATGGACGAACGTGTTTCCTTACAGATGAAGAGAGAGAACAAAGAACCAGAATTCGTAGAGCACAAGGTCGTGGCAGTGGAAGACGGGAACTGCAAGTCTTCAAACGTTATTTACTGTATAACGTGTAATATTTGCGGCCATCAATATATTGGCATGACGAAAGATACCCTCAGCATTAGGATGTCACAACATAGATTTGCAATTGAGAGAGGAGCATCTAATAGCGGGAAGAGGAAGCTGGCGAGAGAATCGCCTTCAAAGAAGCAAAAGAAAAAGAAGACAGCTGCCAAGAAGGGAAAGGAGACCATAGGTGCATCGACTTCGAAGGGGCGAGAGGAAACTATGGAGGCATCGACTCCGAAGGGGCGAGAGGAGACTATGGAGGCATCGACTCCGAAGGGACGAGAGGAGAATGTGGAGGCATCGACTTCGAAGGGGCGAGAGGAAACTATGGAGGCATCGACTCCGAAGGGGCGAGAGGAGACTATGGAGGCATCGACTCCGAAGGGACGAGAGGAGAATGTGGAGGCATCGACTCCGAAGGGGCGAGAGGAGAACGTGGAAAAAGAAGAGATTGTCAGGGGGATCGAAGACCACATGAAGGATTGCGTGGATGCTAAATATAGTCCTTCGATGCGGTGGGAGTTTCTCACAGTAACGATCTTGCATATGTCTTTGATCGATTCCGCAAACAACCTGAATTCGTTGGAGACTTGTTACATAGAAAAATACGATCCTGCAATAAACAAGAACAAGAAATCGGGAAAGGCTTCACGGAAAAGCTAAGATGTTTTCACCACGACAGTCATGGTGAATGAGCGAGAGTAGAGGCGGAGGAATTGACTGGCGCTATTCTGTTATTGCGTAATGAAATAAACGATAATTAAAATCAATTTTCCCCTCGTGATTCTTGCCGTGATGTTCTCTGATAATACGAGGGGCAGTCAAATGAAACGTAGCGGAAGCCTGTGATGTAATACAGGAGCGCTGACCAGTGGTCATCGTTGGTGGGGTGGTAGCCCTGCTTGTCGGCTTGCAACACCGCGCAGGGGTTG